TGAAAGGTCCATGTTGGTACATGAATAAGTAGTCAGTTCCTTCTGTACTATTTGAATAGTATTATACTATGTGGAATGTACCACAGTTTATTTACTCATTCAACACTTAAGGAACAATTAAGTTGCTTTCCATTTTGGGCTATTATGAATAAGCTGCTATGCACATTTTTATACAAAAGAAAAAGGACTTTTTATATGCAAACATTTTAATACAGTAACAGTTCCAATGACTTGCATTTAACATATACTACTTTTATAAAGTATCAGATCTCTACAAATAATGTAGATTTAATACAGTGACTTAGATTCATGGTCTTTGCCTTAAAAGCATAACACAATCCTCACAGCCATTTGATTAACACACAAAACCTGATGACTCAAGACATATTTTCTAGCAAATTCATTGGGCTGAAAGTTTACAGGCTGTTAAAAGTAAATTCAAACTAGCATTTGATTCAATTTTGTATGGTTTAGTCCCTCCTTATATCATTTATTTTATAGTAAGAAAAATTTAAGTGTTGAGGCAAATAAAAATACTCCACAAAGAAATATTTATGTCTTTACATATTACAAACTTAAAAATGATCTGTTTTCTGCAATGAGACAAATATCTAAAAATTGTTATTAAAAATATATAATCTAACTATAAAGATTTTAATATGATTTTATGCATTCCATTAAAGAGAAAGACCATAACCATGGAAGAAGAGGCGCTGTGGCTTAATGCACCAGACTGCAAAGCTGTTTGAACTGCAAACGTGAGGTTGGCAGTTCAAGCTCACCATCTGCTCCTTGGAAACCCTATACAGGGGAGGGGCTCTATGAGTCAGAAGTGACTCAATGGCACTTAACAACAACAACATAGTATTTGAAAGAGAATTTTTTGCCACGCAGAAATTAGTTTTTTATGCATCTAACTTCATTTTTGAACCTATTGTAGTCAGGATTCTATCCCTGTCCTACTAAATGAATTCCTCAGTATTAAGTCCACTGGTCTTAACACAGCAGCCGGAATAGTGCTCTTAAAATGCATGTTGAATCATATCACTTCTCTGATTAAAACGCTCAATGGCCCCACACAACTGTGACATCCTTCCTACCACACGCTTTGATCTAGGGAGTTTAATACAATTTCAAGCACCTTTATTTAATTCTATTTTCTTCTGCCACATTAAGCATGTATTTTTATTGACTTTTATATGTTCCTGAAATACAAGTGTTTTAATAAGATATTATTTCCTATACAAAAACAATAACCCTTTATTAAGACTGGTCTTAACTTTTACATGGTTCCCATTAAGGAAGGAAGGAATATATAGATATCAATGGATAGACCAAGAGGTGCTTCAGGAGAGAACTGAACAAAGATTTGATGTCCACAAGCCTCTCCGCAGGAGAAAGATGAGGATTTGTGCTCCAGCAAAGACTTACAAACCACAGAAACCCTATACAGGGTTGCGATGGGCTCGAATCAACTTGGTAGCATTTAACAACAATTCAATGCAGAATGACTGTGTATCATTCTGTTGATTATGTTTGTACTTTTAGTATAATGGCAGGCAATGAGAGAAAAATCAGAATAGTCTAACTTCCCAATGTGCTAGGACACACAGTGATAGTCTTTTTCTGAACTCAGAAGAGAAAACTGTAAGTAAAACTGTTTCTAACTGATACAAGCCTAAAGCAAAATTAATGTTATTGTTGTTGTTAATCTCTATCGAGTTGGTTCCAACTCATGACAACCCTGTATAGGGTTTCCAAGGAGCAGCTGGTGGGTTTGAACTTCCGACCCTGGTTTTGCAGTCCAGTTGCTGATTTGACAGTGCCACACCAGGAGTGCAAAAGTAATGGATCTGGTTAAATACAATTAAATAAATATGCATTAATTGTGCACTGTTAAATCTACTGTCCTTAAACTAGTAAAACTAAGACACAAATAGTTACTTTATTTGCATGAATTCATTTAGTTTTTAATTCTACTTTTTAGATTCAGAAATAATGATTCACTGAGTCTGATAGGTATTATTTTTGTCATCATTTGCATAGCAAAATTTTAAGATATCATTTCACTGTTGTGGAAAAACATCACTTCAGTTGTGTGCACAGGGTGACATGCCTCCTCATTTGTCTCCTGATTTCTAGTTTTACTCTTTTTGCTACAGTTGGCATCTCCTCATCTGTTAAATTGCCTCATGTTAGCTGATTGGCATCAATGTTAGCTATTAGGTGATTCATCTTCATCTGTAAATAAGAATCTTGAGACATCATCTGGTTCAGTTATTTTTCTTTGTATATATTTTTAGGGTCACCTATTAAAATGTAAGCAGCCCATTTAAGGATATTTATCATTTAAGGATATTTATCTATACTATCTACTATGTATTTGTGGTAGAAATAATTTCTCCTCAAAATATTTCTATGTTACTCAATAGTTTAGATAAGTAGGAAGAAGTATATTACTATGGTAACTTACATTGTTATTGTTTTTGTTAAGTACTGTTAAGTCAGTTCTAACTCAATAACTATATACACAACAGAACAAAACTCTGTCTGGTCCTGCACTATCCTCACAATTGTTATGCTTGAGCCCATTGTTACTGCCACTGTGCCAATCCATCTTATTGGGGGTCTTCCTCTTTTTCACTGACCTTCCACTTTGCCAAGCATTATATCTTTCTCTAGGGAATGATCCATCCTGATAACATGTCTGAAGTACAAAAGACATAGTAGTGGTTTCGAGTCAGGCTGCTAACCTCAAGATCAGCAGTTCAAAACTACAAGCCATTTATTGGAGAAGGTTGAGGTTTTCAGTTTCCGTAAATATTTAGAGCAGGATTCCTGGTGTGGCGTTGTGGGTTAATGCGCCAGACTGCAAAGCCATTTGGACTGCAAGGTCGGTGGTTCAAGCTCACCAGCTGCTCCTCAAAAACTATACAGGGTCACTATGGGTCAGAACCTACTCGACGGCACTTCACAACAACAACAAGAAGCCCTATTCAGGGTTGCTGAGTCAAACTGACTTCACTGCACACAACCACCACTACCACATAAATAGATTAAATGTTCTAGCCAAGAGACTGAGAGCAGCAGAATGGATAAGAAAACAGGATTCTTTGATATGTTGTCTACAAAAGACACATCAAAAAGATGGAGACAGCCTAAATGTACCTCAACAGAAGAGTGGTTAAATAAACTGTTAAGTAAACATAAAGGAATACTACATAATATTTAAGAATAATGATGAATATGCAAAATACCTCATAAAATGGATGAAACTGGAGGACATTATGCTGAGTGAAATTGTTGTTGTTATTAGGTGCCACTGAGTCAGCACGGACTCACAGCAACCTTATACACAACTGAATAAAGCACTGCCTGGTCTTGGGCCAACCTCACAATCATGGCTACACTTGAGCCCACAGCTGCTGCCACTGTGTCAATCCAGCTCAGTGAGGGTGTTCCTCGCTTCTCCTGACCCTTCATTTTACCAAACATGAAAAACATGAAGTCTTTCTCCAAGGACTGGTATTGTATGAGAACACTGTTGCAAAAAGGTAAGAAAAGTTTTTGTTTTTTTTTAATAAAAGAAATATTCCATGATGATTACAGGGATGGAGGAAAGGGGAAATTGGCTAGAGGGTGGACACATATTAGCATGGGTGACAGCACAGGCAATATACAACAAGGAGGTTGGCAGAGGAAAGATGAAAGTGTTGGGAGACACATGGATACATGCAAGAGTTCAAGTGAATAGAGGTTGTTGTTGTTATGTGCTGTGGAATCAATTCCGACTCATAGCGACCCTGTACAGGGTTTCTGAGGCTGTAAATCTTTACGGGAGCAGAAAGCCTCCTCTTTCTCCCGCGGAACAGCTGGTAGTTTCGAACTGCTGACCTTGCGGTTAGCAATCTGATTCGTAACCACTCTTAAATACTTCTTATATGGAGGGGATTACAATCATTGTAACGAAGGAAAATATATGATTTGTTGGATGAAAAATTGATGATCTGCTCTGTAAACCTTCACTTACTTCACAATGAAAAGTTATAAGAAAAAAAATAAGAGAGAGAGAGAGAGATAAGGCTTGCTTTCAGGGTACAAGTAGCAACTTTCAAGTCTTTTTTGTAGTACTTGATCTGTAACAGAAACTTTGAGCTCATTCCTTTCTTCCTCCAACTTGTCTAGCAAAAGCAGAATCAACCGTCCAGCTTCCTTATATTTCTTATACTGAAAAAAATTGTAAAAAAATACCAAATGTGCAATCACCCAAAAATATCTGATCCAATTGTGGTATTTCCTGCATTTTTCTTGCCACTTTATGTCATGGATTAGTACTATCCTTTTAACTACTGGAGAGAGTTATCAGAGCCTTTAAGACTCCTCAGACTTGAGAACCAATTCAGAAAACTCGTTCTTATGATGATGTTCCTCTAGAACTAAATATCAATATCAAATGTCTTAAGCTGGGTTCCCTTGAGACACAAAGCACTGCTAAATATATATATACACATACATACAAATATCGATTCATTTGAAGGAAATATCTCGAACAGTTGTGGAGGTTGGCAAATCCTAATTCCATGGGTCTAGGTCTGGTATCAGACTGCAGGCTTCTCCTTATTCATTTGGTTGCAGGGCTGATGAACCCAAAAAAGCAGGTCAGGTGTCAGAAATCCTGACTTATTTCCCAAGAACCAGAGCTCAAAGGATGGTGAGTAGGATTCAGGATCATGAAAGAGCAAGTTTTGCCAAAGCATCCATATATACTGAATACAGGCCACATCTCCAGGAAACTCTCCTGGAGTTTCATTGGCTGCTTACATCAGATTGCAAAATGGAGGATGATTATATAATATCTGCCAAACCAAAGAGATTATGGTCTAGCCAAGCTGGCCTATAACATTAATCATCATACTTTCCCTCTATGTATTTTACCGTTTTATAAATCATAACAATAAATATATTAAAAGGAATATGATATAGGATGGTAAATATTTTACCTTGTTTTATATCAGCATTTCTTGCAACTTCTGAAAGATAGCAGTTTGGCAAAGGAGATGATGAAAACATTGGCCATGGATATGGGTCATTACCCTATACACAAAGTGAGGCAGACAGCTTTAGGGAACAGCTCAAAATATTGTTGAGTTTTAAAACTTTCTGAAATGAATTTAAACTGGCTTTTTCTCTCATAAGTTCTAGAGTACTTATCCATCTAACCAAAAACTATTTGATATTGCAATTCAATTGCTGTTGTCGTCAGGTGCCATTGAGTCGGTACCGACTTATAGCGACCCTATGCAACAAAAGGAAACACTGCCCAGTCCAGCGCCAACCTCACAATCATTGCTATACCTGAGCTCAATGCTGCTGCCACTGTGCCTATCCATCTCATTGGGGGTCTTCTTTTTTCTCTTCAACCCTCCACTTTACCAAACATGATAACATGATATCAGCACTCTGGTGGTGATGGTGGTTATTTTCTGTGGAGTTCATTCTGACTCATAGCGATGTTGTATAGGGTTTCCAAGGCTGTAAATCTTTATGGAGCAGAAAGCCTCATCTTTCTCCCGCAGAATGACTGGTGGTTTCAAACTTCTGACCTTGAGGTTAGCAGCCCAACTTGAAACCACTATGTTACCACAGCTCCTTAGATAAATATGTACACACACACACATATATAAGGAGTCCTAGTGTGGCACTGTGGGTTAATGTGCTGGACTGCAAAGTTAGTTTGAACTGCAAGGTGGATGTTCATGTTCACCAGCCACTCCTAGAAAACCCTACACAGGGTTGCTATGGGTTGGAACCAACTCGATGGCTAACAACAACACATATATAGTCTAGTGGGTAATAATCAATATGAAGTATAAGAGAAGCAACATTGAAGATAGACATACAGTCATTTGTTGCACAACAACTAATGCTATTACACTTTTTTTTCATGACATGAAAATTATAGCTTTCAAAACAAAGCCTTCATTTGTGAGTTTATTCACCAAACTGTGTCTCTTATGCTGCCAATCAATCATTAATATCTCATTCTTCCCAGACTGATAGGGAAAGCAAGAATGTACTCAACAACAACAGAACACCTTCTTTAGAAAACCAAACTCTATGAATATTGGTGGAAACAGAAATAGTTCATATAGTCAAAGAAACATTAAAAGAATATCATCATCTAATAAAAGTTACGTATCATAAAAGCAAGATATTGAAAGCAAAAAAGCTTAAAGGCACACAGGAAGAATGACAACTTTTTAAATAAAACAATATTCTACTCTACTGCACAAAATAGCACTCATGACACCATGACATCAAGGACACTAGTTTAGTCTGACAGTGTTCACCTACATCGTAAAGTTTTCAAGTAGCAAAAGTTCAACTCTATGGTGTATGTAATTTGAGAGTCGATGCTAAATGTCACTAGAATTTGGCTACTTTGCTTCAAAATACGTCCTGAAAATATTCTCCCCTTATCTCCATTCCACTCACCTTCTGTAGTATCCTTGGAGGCAAAATCCGTTCTAATGGTCCACCAATAACATTTATCCTAACAAGAACATGATTTCTCTCTACTGATAAGCCATCAATTATGAAGTTTCTGAAATATAAATAACAATTTAGTTATTGTTTACTAGAATATAATTTATTTTTATAATCAAGTAATTGGATTAACAAGAAAAAGCAGGCAGAAAATATAGGAGAAATTTGAAAAAAACAGATTATCATAAAAAGTGATTCTCATTTAAAAAAAAAAAACACAAAGAGCTAAATTCACCTGTTTATCTTATAATTTGGTTTTTATTTTGGAGATAGTGTAAACAATTGATGGAGATACAATTTACATGATGAGATTAATAAAAGAATATTCAACTGAAGAGCAGAGATGTCAGCTTGAGGACTAAGGTGCGCCTGACCCAGGCCATGGTGTTTTCAATAGCCTCATATGGATGCGAAAGCTGGACAGTGAATAAGGAAGATCGTAGAAGAATTGATGCCTTTGAGTTGTGGTGTTGGAGGAGAATACTAAAAGTGCCATGGACTGCCAAAAGAAACAACAGATCTGTTTTGGAAGAAATGCAGCCAGAGTGCTCCTTGGAAGCCAAGATGGCTAAACTTTGTCTCTCATACTTTGGACATATTGTCAGGAGGGAAGTCGCTGGAGAAGGATGTCATGCTGGGTAAGGTGGAGAGTCAGAGAAAAAGAGGAAGACCCCCAACGAGATGGATCAGCCAGGTGGCATCATTGATGGCGTCAAGTGTGGCAGCAGTAGTGAGGTTGGCCCAGGGTCGGACATTGTTTCGTTCTGCTATGCATGGGGTCACTATGAGTCAGTTCTGACTCGATGTCACCTGACAACAACAACATTCAACTGGCAAGTATTGCTTTATTTAAAGAGGAAATAGGGTTAAGATCTGCATTTATTATTTCTACAGTGACTTTAAGGAACTCTGGTAGCGTAGTGGTTACAGATTGGGCTGTGAATCTCAAGGTCAGCAGTTTGAAACTACCAGCTGTTCTGCGAGAGAAAGATGAGGCTCCTGTAATGATTTACAGCCTCGGAAACCCTGTACAGGGTCGCTATGAGTCGGACTCCACGGCACCTTAACAACAACAACAACAACACAGTGATTTTAGCAATTACATTTCAATGAGGAGTCTCTTAAGTTCTAGTCCCAGTGCTTTAAATTCAAAATAGCAATGCTGTTTTTTGAACAGCCTTCCTACTTTTTACAGTGGTTGATACTTTCCTTCTATAGCAAACCTAAGGTACCCAGTGTTATTTATACCCAGTAAGTTTTCAAGCATCAGTTTTTCTTTTTTTAAATTTAATTTCAGACACTAAAGCAATGGCAGCTATTGAATAAATGCTCACTAAATGTCAGCCAAATTGAGGTAATGGCAGGTGTGATTCATTAATAGGAAAAATTATCAAGAAAATACGATAACATCATTTGGCAAATAAATAGAATTTATTATTAAGAACTAATGTAATTAAGAAAATGAAGTAAAGAGTGACTTTACAAGGGACACAAAATCAAACATTTTATTCAGCGGGCCCAGAATCAGGCAGTATTTCGTTCTGCTGTGCATAAGGTCGCTATGGGTTGGTACTGACTCAATGGCACCTAACAACAACAACAATACTCCTATATTCAGCATCGATGGGCTCAAGCGTGGCAACGTAGTGAGGTTGGCCCAGGACCGGGCAGTGTTTTGTTCTGCTGTGCATAAGGTTGCTATGAGTCGGTACCAACTACCAACAACAACAACCTTATACATGCAACCTAAATTTAAACATAACACAACTTTGTGGAACCTAAAAATTATATGAAACAAAGACAACAGACGTAGAAAGCCCTGTCCAAAGGCTTAAGCCCTCTTGAAAATCATCTATCACATTCTTCCTAACGGTGATATTTACTCTGTGACTGATTTCTAGTCTTGCTATTTAAATCTATTGAACTTAGATACTGGAAAAAAACATTTTAAAAACTCTTACAAAAATCACTTCCTTAAAAAAGCATCTGTTTAAAAATAGTTGTTTCTATTACTGTATTTCAATGGCCTTTTTTTTTTCACCTGCAGTTTTCAGAAGTCTCTAAAATATTTTCTTCTTGAGCATTCAGCAACATTTCAGATACTTGATATTGAGCCTCTAGTAAGAGAAGGGTGTCCAGATCACAGCATACCACACTTAATAACCTATATGAAGAGGAAAAATAAAAGTAGGTTTTACCAAGTATGTTCTAAAAATTCAGAAACTGTTTTGATTTCTCAAAATATATCTAAACATTGAAGCACATATTTGATAGGAAGGATCACTTCCGCATCTTTTAACTCCATTTTCCCATGAACTTTTTAAAGTTGCTTATATGCAGTCATTCCTACATATATGCAGGTTCCACATTAATGGATTCAACCAACCATGAAATATGAGAGACAGAGAAATTGAGTGGTCAAAGAAATCCCTCAAAGGCTAAGACTGCTATCTACATAACATTTACATCACATTGTCATGGTGTTGGTATGCCAGGGAGTTGGTTCTCACTCACACTGACCCTGCATAGGGTTTCCAAGTCTGTAAACCTTTAAGGGAGCAGGAAGCCTCATCTTTCTCTCGCCGAACAGCTGGTAGTTTCGAACTGCTGACATTGAGGTTAGCAGCCCAACTTGTAACCACTCGGCTACTAGAGCTCCTTACATTGTATTAGATATTATAAGTAATCTAGAGATGACTTAAAGTTAAAAGTAGGGAAATATGCAAATACTATGCCAACTTTGAACATGTTGTCAGGAGAGACCAGTCCCACGAGAAGGACATCCTGCATGGTAGAGTAGAGGTTCAGCAAAAAAAAAAGGAAGAGCCCCAACAAGACGGACTGACATAGTAACAGCAACAATGGGTTTAAACATAACAACATAAGTAACAGATTTGTCAATTCAACACTTTTTATGTGTACCATTTAGTGATGTCAATTACATAATCTTGTGATACAAACCTTACCAATAATCACAATCTATCACCATAAACAGAAACTCACTACTTCGAAAACCATGATTCTTCTTTCACCCTCACATGTATTTTTAATAATTTTAAATAGAAATTTAATATTCAAAAAATGTTTTATTGAAATGTTATTCAAAAGATGAGTCATTTTTAAGGAGCACTGTGACTCTGTAGGATAAGCACTAGACTGTTAACTGCAAAGTCTGTAGTTCAAACCCTCCAGCTGCTCTACAGGAAAAAGATGAGGCTTTCTGCTCCCATAAAGATTTGCATCCTTGGAAATGCTATACAGGGTAGCTATGAGTCGGAACTGACTCGATATTGAACAATAACAGCAACTTCTAATTCAGTAATTTTTTCTAAATTTATTGAAATCTAAAGTAGAAATAAATAGTAAATTTTCTTCTTCTAATTAATTTAGATAATCGTCAGAGAATATTAGCAAATAAAAAAAGAGCTGCAAAGTGAAATGATTTTTAATTCAGTATTTAATGATCATTTCCTGCCAATCTAGGAAACTTCCAGTGAAATTGATACAAGTTTTATAATTTTCTAGTTAAGCTGAAAACACTTAAACACAGGATGCATCTTAAAATTACTAAAAGAATAACAATCGGACATCATTATATCCTCTAATCTTCAGTGTTGCTTCTAAGAAAACTGAACCTGAAATAATCAAACGTACATATCTCGCTACCAGGGTACAGGAAATGTTGGTATCAGAGAAGTGTGTTAGAAGACACCACAAAAGAAAACAGTCAAAGGAATCCAGAATGTGGAGAATCCTATGAATTATTGGACATGTAACAGTAAATACATTATATCTTTAGCAAATAAAAACAAAAAAGCATACATGTACATATGTACATATTTATAAACACACACACACACACATATATATATATATACATACATACAAATTTTAGACTTTTATAGTGATCTTAATTCTAACCCACAAACTGTAAGAGGATATTTTTTATCACTCAGTAAATTATGAGATAGGTATTAAATGAGAGCAAGGAAATATCTTGAAATGGTATGGTGGTAATGTTTGTATTTTATTTTTTTAATTGTGAATTATGTGAAGGTTTAAAGAGCAGATCTGTTTTCCATTCAGCAACTCATACTCATTTAAAAAAATTTTTATAGTCTTAATCTATTAAAAATACTTAATGCATTGTTTATAAGCAAAATGGCATTATATGTAGAATTTTTAAAGTACTTAAGGAAAAAGTGTGAGTGGGGAAAAAGAGATAAAATCTGCAAAAAATTAATGATTGATATGCAATGGTTACATGGACATTCATTATACTATTCTATTGACTTTTTAAAACATATTTTCAAGTCCTATGGAAAAAAAAAGTTTTTTAAAAAGATAATATGATTAAGATATTGGATGATTATAGTAAACTTCTGGAATCCTGGTGTGGCACTGTGGGTTAATGCACTGGACTAGTGTTGTTGTTGTCAGGTACCATTGAGTCGGAACCAACTCATAGCGACCCCATGCACAGCAGAACGAAACAATGTCCGATCCTGGGCCAACCTCACTTGAGTCCATCAATGATGCCACCTGGCAGATCCATCTCCTTGGGGGTCTTCCTCTTTTTCTCTAACCTCCATCTTACCCAGCATGACATCCTTCTCCAGTGACTGTTCCCTCCTGACAATATGTCCAAAGTAGGAGAGACGAAGCTTAGCCATCCTGGCCTCCAAGGAGCACTCTGGCACTTTTAGTATTCTCCTCCAACACCACAACTCAAAGGCGTCAAAGGTCGGTTTAAATCATAACGTCAGTGGCAAGCTCACCAGCTGCTCCTTGGAAACCCTACACATGGTCGCGGAACCAACTTGAATGCACTTACCACTTCTGGGAACTCACTCTTGTTTTTGTTTAACTGCCGTCAGGCTCATTTTGACTCAAAGTGACCCTGGATAGGATTTCCAAGGAGTGGCTGGCAAGTTGGAAATCTCTATGAAAGGTAACAATTGAGGAAACAAGAAACCCAAGAAGTAACCAGCTCTGCAGTTGCATGTTTACTGATTTATCTGACAGATATATTCAAATGTAAGCACAGAGATCTACACG